ATATATACATATATATATATACCTATTGCTAAGTCTGTACAATGTACTATTTGTTGGATATGTATTTCGAAACTTTCTTTCCAAAATAAAAAAAGTGTACATCAAATTCGAAATGTTTTTCTGGATGTTCCTGCGAGAATTCTTGATTTTTGTATTTATAAAGTGGACGATTATTATTATTCAATACTTTTATTTATAGTTATTTTATAATATCTATCTATATACGCCTCTTGCTCAGCTGTATCTGTCTTTGAGTGTCATCTATGAGCTAGAAGGAGATAGTTTGAAACAAAGCGAATAGATGTGAGGAAGATAGCGAAGCGAGGATCCATTCCATGAAATTTGTAAGCTTTTCAAATTAAGGGGTAAAACTGATTAGACATATAAATTACCTAATCAGCTACATATACATTCTGTATGCGTACACATAAGAGACTACACACTTATATACATATATCTATATATAGCCTTATCTATATCAATCACTTATAATAACTTAGCAATTTAGAGCAAATTTATTGTACTTACTATACGAACATGGATACTTCACACAAAGTAGAGCAAATCAATGCTAAAGATAATAGAAAAGGGTTATACCCTGATGAAAACTGCACGACTTGTATATACCCTTTAGTTGGATGACTATTCATATAGCCTAAACTCAGCTCTCATTGGAACAGCTCTTATTACGCAGATATTCTTTGACAATAATTATCCTATTCCAAGTATATGAATAAATATACATATATAGTTATAAATAGTCTATATAGTCTAGGCAGGGCAATGGCAATTCGAGCTCAGAGTTTTATCTTTAATAACTATCTTTGCTTAACTATTTTAGCTTAGCTTAACATTTACCCAAATTAATGGAGTCCATAATAAAACTTTAGGTTTTTAAATCATTGTGAAGAGCAACAAAATATAAAATTTTAACACCCAATGTCTGATTTCCAATCGGTTCACTGTAAAAAAAAAGTTGAGATGTGTTTAATCAGTGTTTATATATATACATATATCAGATTATCCAGCAACTGAATGAGGTCAGCTATAATAATCTCTATATGCACATTCATTTAATCAACTGCATGCAGTCAATGATAAATAGAAATGTGATATTTATAGGGTTGTCCGTTCGTAATTGTTTACGCCATTATCTTGGCTATATTCTATTTGTCACATTCAATGGATTCTCTTTCTCTCCCCCCCTCTCTCTCTCTCTCTCTCTCTCTCTCTCCCCCTCTCTCTCTCTCTCTTTCTCTCTCTTTCTCCATATATAAAGAAAAGGTGTGCAACTGCAAACGATTCAAAGCGTATTCAATTCTCAGTCGGTGCATAACATGTCGTCGCACCTGGCCAGCTTAGTGGGTCTCTGCGATGGACAGGATACGCCCAATCTGTTGAACATAATAAGCAACAGCTTCAGAAGTAAGTTTATTATAGCATCAACTATGTCTATGGAAATTGCAATTGATATTAAATAAATTTAAATTGAAAAAAAAAAAAAAAAAAAAAATGCAACAAGAATTCTTTTAAATTGGAATTTCAGCCTTCAGCTGAGTAAAACGACTGAGCATTCGCAGTTCTATTTAAACTAGTTAAAAGCTTTTTGAAATTCTGCTATTTATGCACAAAAGCAATCAGCTCTGATAAAAAAAATTATATTTATTCACACATATATGGCGTAACAGCACTTATCTGTGGAACTAACTTCTTATAGGCGCATACTGAGTGCCTAGTGGATTTTTAAGCTAAAGACAAGCTGATGCGCTAGATGTTATCCTTGACTGTTAGTAAAAGTGCCGTGAAAAATATGTAGATAAAAAAATACAAATACATCGATTTCATACATTTATGTAGATAAGAATATAATTAGGAACAATGAAAGGATACAGAAAAAATGAATTTGATTACCCATTTAGAAGCAGTTTGGTTAATTTTTACAGTTGAGAGCAAAGCTTTGAATCTTTCAATTTATTTTTAATATAAACAAATTTATACGAAAATTTTCATAGAGACATAAAATAGAAATAAATACAAATTTGTTCAAATTATGTAATAAAAAATTTATTTTTCCTGTCTCAACATATTTAAAAATTATTATTAATATTATTTATTTATTTTTTTTTTTTTATTTATTTATTTTTTTTTTTTTGTATTTACCTTCATAACAACTTTTGAATTTCTTGACTAGTAAAATGAAATGCTAGAAAAAATTCAAAATTCGTTACGCTCATATTCTGCAGCTAATATGCACGTAAATGAATCATGAAACAGAGTATACAAAATAAAAGAATAAGTTTCACTATCACTAAAAAAATGACAAGCAAACGAATATTTATCTAGCCGCACTTTGCATCGTAACGGCGCCACTTGAAAGCTTCGCGATGAGCACTCTCAGAGCTTTGGGCACAAGAAAGCTTTTGCTCGCGCGCTCTCGGCAGTGGTTCAGTAACGCGATGCGATTGTCGCCAGCTGGTTGAGTCTCAGTGGCCGCTCACTCGGGGCTAATCTGTTGTGTTGTTGTTGGAGCCGACTGATCGAAGGTGCGTAGCATGAAAAGTGATCTTTGAACCGGTTGAGGCCAAAGGTGGGGAGTGCTCAAGAGAAATGATTAAGTTTAGTTAGATTCAGTTCAGTTGGCTGCTTTATGCAACTCACATCCATTGTCACTTTATATGCACACTTGCAGTTGTACAGCGGCAGAGCACGAAGTTGAAGAGTCAAACGATGTCTTCGCTCAAGTTTTATTACGATCTGATGTCGCAGCCGTCGCGGGCGCTGTTCATCATATTCCGTTTGAGTGGAATGCAGTTCGAGGATTGTGTTGTAGCGCTGCGTAATGGTAGGCCTAATAGTCGATATATACATATATATAACTATATCTCTCTGTGAATATATATGCGTAAATCTTCATTTCAGGCGAACATCTGACAGATGAGTTCAAGCTGAATATAAATCGTTTTCAGCGTGTGCCCTGCATTAACGATAATGGCTATAAGCTAGCGGAAAGCGTGGCCATACTGCGCTACCTCAGTGCCAAGGGCGAGATCCCGGAGATACTCTACCCCAAGTATTTCGCGAAGCAGGCTCGCGTCGATGAGTTCCTCGAGTGGCAGCATACGACGCTGCGCCTCACCTGTGCCATGTACTTTCGCACCATCTGGCTGGATCCGCTGCTGACGGGTCGCTCGCCCAAGGAGGACAAAATCGAGAAGCTGCGCATGCACATGGAGCGCAATCTGGACATCATCGAGCAGGTCTGGCTGGCCAAGAGCGAGTTCCTAACCGGATCTACGCTCACGGTTGCCGACATCTTTGCCGCCTGTGAAATCGAGCAAACGCGTAAGTCGATTTGCATTGCTTGACCCGATTAGACACTCTCATGCCACCTTGCCCCACCCATCAATAGGCATGGCCGACTACGATGTGCGCATCAAGTTCCCCAAGATACGCGCCTGGCTGAAGCGGGTCCGACACAGCTGCAATCCGCATTACGATGCGGCCCACGCGTTCGTCTACAAAATTTCGGGCACTGGACCACAGGCCAAACTCTGAAGCATTACCAAACACCAAACCTTGTAATTAGCTTTTGTCAACATTAGTTAGAGTTATGTTTGTATTTGAGTTAAGCTAGCGAATCTTAAGTATTGTCAAATTATTAAATTTTTTAAGGAAAATAATATATGTTATATCACTCATCCGTTGTTGAAGAAAGGTTTCCCAAGCGCCTTCAAATGTGAATACAAATTTCTTTATATTCGCAGTTTTGTTGTTGGGTTTGGAGTATTTTTAAATATTTGTAAAATACTTTCACATAATTTTTTAATATTCAAACTTAAGTTTTTTTTATATGAAAATATTTTCAAATATATATAAGGTGTTTAAAATTTGTATATATTATATATTTCCTTTAAGTATATAATAAACTTTTTTAAATATCTTTTAATGTATTAAAATATTTTTCAATAATTTTTCAGAAGAAAATCATAGTGCTGATACACTGCTGATACATTGTACCAAACCAGTTTGGGAATTTCAAATCAATCCAACATTTTGCCAGAATTTTTGGTTCAAAATAATAAAAAAAATTCAAGCAAGATTCAGAGTCATATGATATGAAAATATTTCGAATTAAGTCAAGTCGACATCACTTGCCTTGATTGGCTGACTTATTCAGTTAACCCAACTGAAAATGATTCAAAAACCATCGAAGTTATTCGCTTTATAAGTACTCTTATGATGTTTGTTTTATTGTGTCGTCATTGTTGCTTTTATAAGTTCACATTTATTTAAAAAAAAAATACAATTTTAAAAATAACTACCTAAAACTAATAAAAATATTAATAATATATAATATAATATAATAATATATATAGCAACGTTACGCGCTTGCAACAATTTTTTCTTTCAGTTTTTTCGATAACAAAATATAGTATGTATAAATAAAGTAGGATTACAAAAAAAAAATGTATATTTATATATATGAATTTAATAAACATGTGAAATGGAAAAAAAATCAGAATAATCAAATTAAATCAAGTAAAGCAAAAATAAATTGTAATATATACAAAAAAAAAAAAAAAAAAAAGGGAAAAACTATACAATATGGATATAATTATACATATATATCTGCATACATAAATATATACACATGTGTGCATGTGTGCGTGTGTGTGTGTTTGTGTGTATATATAAAACTACATACAACTCTAGACTATTTACTTAATGATTATATTTGCATGTATATTTTATGTTGTAGAACTCAGCTTAAAATAAAAAAAAATAATAATAATAATAGTAATAATACATATACATTTATTTGTATATATTATATTTTATATAGGTATATTAGGTATGCATTTGTGTGTTGATTATTATGGATACATTTATGCTCTCTTCGTCCTCTTATAACTCTCTCACATTCATTCATTGCCCTGCTATACTTATTGCTGAATTGTTTAAATATTAGATATACATACATACATATATGACATTTGTAATTTGTTTGCCAAGGGGGTTTATTTTTTATGTGCGCACCTGCTCCTTTTCGCCTGTCGGTAACTGAGGGGCCTAAGCTCCACGTCGAGCAGGCAGCTGCATTGGGCCCAGCTCGGCCAGGTCCACGCGATGCTGGACTTAGCTAACGCCTCACATTTTACAAAACATGGTCGACTCCTAAGCTAATGACACGCGAGCACCCAACGCACATATATACACATGCATGTATATGTTCGTATAGACATATGTGCTTTTTGCCAAATTCCCAATCGAGCACCGAGCACTGTGGGCAGCGTTCCCTAAATCATGTCACTCACAAATTTTCAAAGCAAAGCAATTAAGGCACCTAAAAGTGTTTCCATCTACGCACTAGAATCTATCCATAGGTGTATGAACAGGTACAGGTACATAACTACATACATAACAGTCGAAATACATTGCAAATCATACAAAGCAGCTGCCTGCCTACAAGATGTTGCCATATCTCCCTCTCTCTCCCTCTCTTTCGTTAACTCTTGCTAGCTTTATTGCTGTCTCCCTCTAAGTTATAGACAGGCGACATTGTTTGATTAAGTTTAAACATGTATATATAAATAGATATATGTATGTATGCACTGTTTTTGTTTTCTTTCTATATATGGCTATCGAACATAGATTGTAAAAGTCTGATTGTGTAAGTTTCGGTGTGTCTGTGTGTGTGTGTGTGATTATTTTTACAAATACATGTTTCTCTGTATGTGTATGTGTATGTGTGTGTGTGTGTGTGTATGCGTTAAGCATATTCCGTACTATTGTATACGTTTTACAAAATAGTTGTATATATATTTATGTCTCCCTCTATGCGATGCGCTGTCTCTACAATCATAACTTTTGCTTTTCCATTGTTCCCTCGGTGTGTTTGTGTGCGTTTGTGGGGCTTGTTGGGGATTTGTGGGTGTGTGTGTTTTTTTTCTTATCTTTGTTTCGTTTTTTAAATTTTTGTTATATTTTTTAGAGCTTGTTTTTACTTAAGCCATGTTTTGAAATACTTTCCCCGTGTGTTTTATATATTTCGTTTTTAATACTAATCCTTTCCAATATACATGTATATATATATATATAAATCAATATATTCCCTCACACATTCGAGTTGTACGTTTGTTGCATTTCCCTTAGCTGCAAGCGACATGAATTAACATATTAATTATTGAAGATTCTTGAGCTCTATTTCATTGCGCCACTCACCTGCTCCAACGGCTGCATTTAGAAGCGCGCTCTGTTGATGTTCTTGATGCGTATGCCCACCTCCAGCACTTGATCGCCGCCAGCAACGCCTCCACCGCCACCACCACCACCAGCACCGCTGCTGCTGTGGCTGGCCGAGCTGCTGTTGCTGCATGGACTGCCGACGCCGCCGCCGCTGGCGTTGCTGTTGCCGTTGCTGCCGTCGCTCAATGGCGAATTGTTGTTGTTGTTGTTGCTGCCGTTGTTGTTGCTCGAACTGGCGCCAGAGACGGGCAGCGCGACACTGGCCTCCGTGACGCCACTCACACTGGCGCTGGCGCTCGCACTGGTCGCTGTGGCGCCCAGCCTGCGCAGCACTGTGGTGGTGGTTGTTGTTGTGGTTGTCGTTTCGGCCGCAGCACCGCCATTGGCGCCGGCTGCGGCGCTGCCCAACTTGAGCAGCTGCTGCTTGTGATGGCGATTGTGATGATTGTAGTTGATGGCCGTCAGATCGTGCCGTGAGGCACCGCCGCAGCCAGCACCACCGCTACAGGCGCCACCTGCACCGCCACCGCCACCGCCACCGCCGCCGCCAACACCGTTATTTGCCGCATAGTCGTGCGGTCCGCCCACCGTGTGACGCCGCTTGATTGAGCGATTCTGTTTGTTTTGTATCTGCCGCTTCTTGGTCAGATTCATGTCAGTCTTTTCATCCTTGGTCAGCGCGCCAGCGGCATGGGCCCACGACGACGACGACGATGTCGGCGAGCAGCAGGCGGCGGCCGCCGCAGCAGCCGCCGTGCTGGAGTTGCTGCTGCTCATGTGTCGGGTCGAGTAGTTGCGACAGTTGAAGCTGGCGCTGCGAAAGAGTCGATGATCGCGTCGCTTTTTATTGTAGCGCTCGAGAAAAAACGATGGCGAGGGAGCGGCCATGAGCAGCTTCTCCTTGGGGTCACTGGTGGTGGAGCCCTCCGAGTCGTCCTCGGAGCCGGCGCCACCAGCGCCGCCCCGTTGCTCGTAGGCCAGCGAGCTGCTGAACCGCAAGTTCTTGCTGCCGTACGAGTTGCGTTGCACCGCGCTGCCCGCGTTGCCCGCGTTGCCCGTCTGCGAGCTGGGCGTGCCAGCCAGCGGTGTGGAGGCGCTGCTTGAGCCAGTGCCGGCGGTGGGCGTGGCGGCGCCACTAGCCGGCGCCGTTGAGCTGCCCTGATGGATGGGCGCCGTGGCCGAGTGCTGCAGCTTGTGCGCCGCCTTCAGCAGGCTGGCCGGCAGCGGCGCCACCGTCGGCTTCAGCATCAGCTGCAGATGCTTCTCGTCCTTGGCCTCGCCCAGCGTGTTGGTGGCCGTGCACGAGCGGCTCAGCAGCAGCGAGTGCGGCGCGTCCAGGGCGCAGAAGTTATGGAACAGTCGCTCCGGCGACTCGTCCGCATACGGAATGTTCTCGGAGTGCAAGTGCAGCGGCTGCCCGAGCGTGTGTCGTCGATTTTTTGGAAACTCCGGCGAGCCGTTCTCATCATTCGACTCCGAGCCACTGCGCAGATTGCGCAGCTTGCTGTCCAGCGTGTCCGTGATGGTGGTCAGCGACATCGAACCTGGCCAAGGAGTGGAAGTAATTACAATACTGCATCTTTGGGGGAATGATTTCCGCAGAGCCTTCACTTACCCGTATCGCTCAGCCGGCTGCTGGAATCGTCGTCGGTGAGCTGTATGGATATGTCCACGCTGCTGCGCTGCTGTTGGTCGTGCTTGCCTATGCTGCTGGCCGAGTCCACGCTGGCCAGATCCTTCTCGTCGAGGCTGGCCTTGCGTGTCTGGCCGCTGCGCGAACTGGAGCTGGAGAGGAAGCCGCCGGTGCTGCGCTTCTTGGTGCTCGCTGCCGCCGCTTTCGCTGAGCTCGACGACGACGTGAAGGCGGACGAGCCCATCGCCGAGCTGAGCAGCTTGCTGGTGGTGCTGGTCTTGCTGCTGTGCAGCGTGGAGCTGCTGCTGGTGCTGGTGGTGCTGCTCGCTGATACCTTGGCGTAGTCCAGCGACTGAAAGTGAACAGCGGGCAGGATTAGGCCAAAATCGCAAATGCTTTGCACAGCCTTGCGCTGCATTCGTCTTTGGTTGGTGGTGCGGATGGTGGTGGTGGTGGTGGTGTTGGTGGTGGTATTGGTATTGGTATTGATGGTGTTTGTGGTGGTATTGGTGGTGCAGTGGATATTGTGCTGAGCTTGGCTACTGCCGCTTACCAGAACACTCTCGCCCGAGTACGTGTCCGAGCTGACGGCGCTGCGCTTGCCGTGGGTTCGCCTACGCAGCTGCGGAATGAAACGTGAGGAGCGCGTCTCGCGCTCTGTGATGCGCTCAATCTTGGACAGGTTGTGCAGCAGCATGCTCGTTTGGTCCTCCTGCGTCTGCTGTGGCTGTGCAGGGCTCGGCGCGGCCGCACCGCCGCTCAGCTCCGCCAAGTCCGGCAGGCTGCCGCCCTCAAAGAAAAACTCGTACTGCAAAAGAGAGAGAAAGCATGTGAATTGATTTCCATTGATTAGAGCTGCAGCAGCAGCAGCAGCAGCAGCTACAGCATCTCAGCTCACCTGCGTGACAAGCAGCTCGACAATGCGACACTGATGCTTCATGTCCTTGACAGCCGTCTCCAGGGTGTCGTTCGGTGTTCGTATAATGGATGGGCCAAAGATAATGGCCAGATTCTTCGGTTCCATGCGATTCACCTCGCAGTTGTCGCTGACGCGGCAAAGGTGCCGGATCAGATGCTTCATTGTCTCGTACGGATGGCGGGGCAACAGCTCCACAATATCCTTGAGCAGCATTATCCGCTCCATGCCCGTCTTCTTGTCCGCCTCAATGAAGTTGATGTAGAAACTGGCGGGCATCAGTGCATCCGGCAGGCTGCGTATGAACAGCTTCAGCAAGCTGCTAACCACATTGACATCCTCCCACCGGACGTCGGTGGCGCAGCTCTCGAACTGAAAGTCCTTAGTGTTAACCAGCTCGGACAGCTCAGAGATGGCCGCCTTGTTGCCCGGTATGCGATAGATGCCCACCACGCCCAGACCTTTGGTTTCCACAATGTTGGTGCACACCTCCACCAGATGCGGCACGTATGCATTATTCTTGGACATGGGACAGGCGCGCAGGGGCAGCCCAATGGAGCCGCCTGTCTTGTTGGCACAGCCCGAGGGTGAGGCCAGGTCGGCATGGGATACGCCGCCGCCACTGCCGCCTCCTCGTCGGAAGAGCAAGTCCTTCCAGTTCTTCGACTTGGGCGAGCCCAAATCCTTCTCTGGTACATTCTTGTGCGAGGAGGGCTTGCGCAGCTTCATCACGGGCGAGATGGCGTCATTGGTGACGGCAGCTGCCGCTATTGTCGCCGCCACAGGTCCCTCCATCAGGGCCCCGCTCGAGTGTGAGCTCAACGGCGAGCTGTCCGCAGCGCCGGCCACGTCGTCCAGATAGCTGGACGTGGCTGCTGTTTTCTGTGGCTCCGCCAGCTGTTTGCCCGCCGGCTGCTCCTATACGAAACATAAGCGTGTAATTATGAATAGAAATTCTAGGAAATTTGTGCATCTGCTGCAGCTTACAATATCATCATAGTTCAGACTATCCTTCCACTGCAGCAGGCCAAAGAGACGCTTCATCTCGTTGCTGTTTTTGGTCTTGAAAAGAATTTCGGTGTAGGGACCGCAGGAGGGAGCCGTCGACGCCGGTGTTTGCGGCTCAGCGGCGCTGCTGCTGCCCGACGACGTCAGCTTATCGTGCGCATCATCCAAATTGAGCTCGTTGCCCAATGTGGCCAAGTGGGCGCCGGTGGCGCTCGGCTTGGACTGCATGCGTATCAAGAACTTCTTTTTGTCCAGCGACTCGTCAAAGAATTTAAAATTTCTAATATCAAGCTCTATCACCTGCCGGACAATGAAAGATTAATTAGAATTAGCATTGCACCCGACCAGGAAATCCTATGAAGGCAACTAAGAATCTCGACTCACATTATGCTCCGACTTGGTATGGCGACCAGAGTAAATGCGCAGAATGTCGCCCTTGATCTCCAGTTTCACCTGACGCCATGATCGATACTCCGACATGCGCTGCAAGAAGAAGACACGATGGCTTTAGTACAGCCTACCCTTCAAGGATTCATTTGAGTGTTGCATACCTTGCCATTGATGCAGGAGGACTTGATCTCGATCTCCGTTTCGAAGGCTTCCAGCTCGTTGGGCACGTACTTGCCGTTCAGCTCGGCATCGATGTGGATGCTGTGCAAAGCGTAAGGATTAGCTAGGCGATGTGACTCCTCGGCGGCTCGCGAAGGACTCACCTGCTGCGCATGTCGCTGCTGATCGAGGCCCGACGATTGCCATGGTGTGTACTCAGGCGCACGTCCTCCAGGCCGTTGGGTGTCTCAATGAACTCGTGCCCGGCGCCGGTAGTGCCGATCACATCGTATGTTGGGTCTGGATGCTCCTCCACCAGGGCCTTTGTCTTGTGTGGCTCCACGACGGACGCTGCTGCGGCTGCCGCGGCTGCTGCCGCAACAACAGCTGCTGCCGTGCTACCAGCACCGCCAGCACCACCAGCAGCTCCGCTGTCCGCTGCCGGCTCAGCATGGTATTCCGCCTCGTTGTTGGTGGCACGCAGATACGAGATTCGGCGCACCGGCTTGCCCTCGTCAAATGAGCTGGACGAGAGCGGCTTGTACCGCCGCACCACATTCGCCGACACTGTGGCCGCGTCCACAATGGCCGCGGCTGCAAGCATAAAATTGAACCTCATTGAAACCAAATTGCCAAATTCAAAACCACTGAAAATTTCATTCACTATATTTATGAATTTTGATTAACATTTAAAGTTTTAACCAGAAGGATATGAGGACGTCAGAATAATAAAAATTAAAATTAAAAACAAAAAAAGTATTCAATAAAGTCAATCGGAAGTAAAGCAATGTTAGCTTATGAAGTGGAGATTGACAAATGAAAGCACTTGATTCGGGAAGCCACTAGCTGAGCTGGGTAATCGAGTCTGCCAACTGCTACTGGAAATTTTTGTTGTTTCTTTTCTGTGAACATCTAACATGGAGTGATACCTGGGGAATATTGTGTAGCAGTTGGGCTGAAAAGTTCGTAAGCTAATATAGACAAAAATGTGTTTCGATGAAACTCAATCTTATTATTTAATAGAGTTTGCCTTCGGAGTATTTCTATATGTATAATACCCTGAGACGTGGAAAATCAGGGTCTACTGGATGTGTAACATTCCACTGAAGGCGTGGCAGAGCCCAAAATATACTGCACACATTCTTGATCAGGTCAAGCAGGAGCTTGGTCCATGTAGCTATCTCTGAGCCTACTGGAGGAGCTAAGAAATATACAGATTAAATTTATTGCAACTAATCGATAGCTATCTACGTTTTGACATTTATCGATTAAAATCGATACCGAAAGGGAGTTATTAAATTATAACTCGTATATCTTTGGAGCGCGAGTCTCCAAGCTTCCCAACTCATTTTGCGTGTATTTTGTGCAATTTTTGTAGTTCTGTTATATTTCGGATGTTAGCTCTACATTTCACCAGATTCTTTAAATTTAGCTGCAATTGCAATTATAGCCAATATTTGGAATTCTACTTATGCATGTGCAAATAGGCAGTCAAATGTGTATTCTAAGAATCCCAATTGCAACTGAATTGTGTTTGAATTATTCGCTGCTGCTTTGCCAGATGGCGCTTTGGAGTCACGGAGTTGGTAGACGCGATGGGTTCAAGCCTAGCGATGTTCGTTTGTCGAGGGTCGTAAGTTTGCATATGGATATGCGAGATAAATATAGTCCATAGGAGTATACGAGTAAAAAACTAGTAAGAAGACTCTAGTCGAGACTGCTCGACTAGGAGATACCCTGAACCCTCTAATCTGATATTCTAATCACTCTGCACTTCTTTTCGGCGAACATACGAACATAGTAGAACGCGATCTGCTAACTGCGCAGTAAGCAGCGACTGCGCTTGGGCTGCGCTGCAGTGTGGGCAACATTATAAGAATTTATTTGTTGAATAATTTAGAACATAATCATAATGTTCAAATGTATGTACATACCAAAGCACAGGTCTCTAGTACTTGAAATACGTCTTTTACAGAGGTGAGGGTGAGGGGGTGGATATAAGGGTGGGGGGTAAATTACAACAAAAATCGAAATTATATAAAATACATATAAGTCTAGCCATATAACTCTAGCTAATAAACAGGACAGGGCCAAATCGATTCAGCTCGTCGCTCTGATCAAGAATATATATACTTTGTGGGGTCTGCCACGCCTCCTTCTGCCTGTGACATACTTTTCAACAAAACCATTATACCCTGATTTCCCATTGAAAATGGGTTCAGGGTATAAAAAACACAGATCGAACTTAGTTCAAGGTGTTTCCTAATTGGAGGTCCAATCGAACTATTTAATTTGTTTTTAACTATTTAATTGTTTTTAAATATGCTTGAGTTTAACTAAGTTGATTTTATCTCTTAAGGATTGAGAAGATGAAAAATGCATGCAATTTGAACATATCTTTTATTTAAGATTTGCGACACGATGCATTGCATTGTTGAAAAATGTAATATATATTATTTAATACAGTCGAGATTCGATAATTTGTACACCGCTAAATCAAAAATCGCGATAAATCAAAAATTCTATCTCCTTGCAAAAAAACAAAAAAAAATCGTTCTTAAAAATCCTCGATAATTTGAATTTCTGGGTAAATTGAAAAATTATCGGGACTTGCCTGTATATAAATATATTATATTATATTTAGGAATTTCATTTCGACACTCTTGAAGTTAGTTTAAAGTGAAAACTTGGAGTATTAGCTGGATAGATAAATAATTGATTGGAAAAGAAATCAATTCTACTGCTGAATTTTTCCAGATCAAAGATCAAACTTGAATCATCGCAACCAAATCTCAAATTTCTCCCAAGTAGCTCCCATGTCATAACGATTCTCATAAGAGAGAAGCCAACAATTTCACACTTACCGCTGCTCTCAGCAATGTCCGCCAAGGTGGCAACCGTATGCGAGGAACTACTGCTGGGCTGCTGGTGCTCCGGAACACTGCTGAACTCTGCAAATAGTCGAGCAATTTATTAGTTTCTTTTCTTTTCAGATCAGTTCAGATCAAGGTCACTTACTGCTTGGCGTGGACTCGAAGGTGGCGTTCGCTACCGTCGCCTTGTGCAGCTCCATGCGGCTGGTGTTCTGGCCATCGACGGCGCTGGTGCCGACAGAGCTGCTGCTCTGCTGGAACTTGGCGTGCATCTGGTGCAGCGGATGCTGTTGCAGTGACTCGTATAGGACGCTTTGCTTTTTGGCTAACGCAACGGAGGCGGCGCTGCTCGATTCGGAGGCGCCACTGGCGTTGGTATTGATTGACAGCGGCTTAAATGGATCAAAACCCTTCGACATGTGCGTGACCAGTTTGCGCTCGAATCTAAAAATGAAAAAAGAAACAAAAATTCACAATTAGCAGAGGTTGAATATTTGATTGAGCCAGATCTTGACTGCCCACCAGGAGCTGCATCCAGCTGCCACAGCTACTTACACCTTGTTGGTCACGCCCGTCTCTTGCAGCGTCTCAAAGTAGTCTAACTCATTGCCGTACTTGGCATTGTTGTTCGCAACGCTAACAGCCACCTGTCGTGGCTGCGCCGGCATTGCACCCAAGGACCGAGGCGCCAGCTTGCTGCTCGTATAGCTATTGTACATGTCGTAGCCGAGCACAACTTGCTGCTGCTGCTGCTGGAGGTGGTGATGGAGGTGATGCTGCTGCTGCTGCTGCTGCTGCTGTTGCTGTTTGTGCAGCACTTGGTGGCGCACGCGCGGTGCAACGTTGCCGCCTCCTCCTGGTGGCGTCTGCGAGGGAAAAAAGTGCTGCGCCGCTTGTTGCTTTTGCGGCAGTGACTGCGCTGCGTTGCCGTTGGATGTGGAGGAGGCGCTGCCTGAGGCGGACGACGAGGCAGACATCACACCTGAGGGTAACGGCGATTTCAGAAACTCCTCTTTCTGTTTGATGGATTCGCGCAGTCGGATCATTAGGTCGCTGTTATCGCTGCTGCCGCTGCCGCTGCCACTGCCACTGCCACTGCCACTGCCACTGCCGCTGCCGCTGCCGCTGGCAACATTCACGGCGTACAGTGCTTGGCTGAGGGCTGCTGCCGATTTGGGTTGGCGCTGGGTGGGCGTGGTCGGTGTTGTGCTTGCTAATACTGTTAGATTTGGCGGTTGATTGGCACTTTAAGTAGAAGAGAAAGCAAATCAATTAGTTAAGGATTTACAATTAACTAAAGGTCAAATACTTGAAAAAAAATATAAATAAAAAAATAAAATAAATCGGCATTGAATCAGATGCAAAGTTGAAATTAAGGATTTGTTAAAGAATAAATATTTGTTTGAAATTATATTTAAATAACTCATTCATTCTTTAGTTAAATGCAGGTATTTTATACCGAAATTTATATTATTATGATATATAATAAAGTTGATTTTATATTATATTCATTTTATTTTATATATATTTGTTTTATTATTTTTTATTTTTATATTATTATTTTAAAACAAAATATAGCTTTACGGTGCATTTCTTATAATTTTATAAAAAATATAATATATCCAAATATTTATCTCATTTTATTAATTTATTTGTATATGCATATTTTAATTTAATTATTTTTTTTTTCGTTTTATTTTCTTTTTAATTTTATTAACTCTTAATTTATTTATTTATTATTGTATTTATTTATTTTTTTGTTTTTTTGAAGTTTGATCATTTATTTTGTTAACTTTCTTTTTTTTTTTTGCTTTTTTTTATGGCATTTATTTATTTTGTTAAAAAATATACCAAATTTGTATATTTTATTAACAGGATTTTTTTTTTTGTTTTTATTTCATGTAAAATTAATTTGATTTGATTTTTATTGCTTTGTTTTGTATATGTAATTTATTATATAATTTAATTTTCATTTTATAAATATTGTATTTGCATTATATTGTATTTGACTTAAAAAATACTATTTATATTAATGATTTAATTTAATTTTAATTTTTTATTTTTTGGATTTTCATTATATGTAATTTTATTAAATATATTTTTCATCATTTGATTTACATTATATTGCTTGTTTGTTTGATTAACTGCTAAACGAAAAACAATATTTGAATACATAATATTAGCTTGTTTTTATGCAGTTGCAATAATAATTGAAAGTTGACGCTGTTTTTTGATTTATTATAACATCAATTGTCAGTCATACTGAAAGCTAGAGCCCGCGTTATCTAAGATATATATTGAAATGCATATACATATATGAATGTACATACATATATACATATATGTACATGTAAATATATCTTTATTTCAAACAGCTCAAATATGTGGCAATAGCGACTGCCTGATTGCCATACGAAATAAGGTCGCACTGGAGAGCTGAGAAATGTTTTTTTGGCGCGTGCCGTTAGCGTCGCTGCCGTCGTCGCCGTCGTCGTCGCCGTCGCCGTCGACGTCAAAGGCAATGTCAGCGCGAACGTCAACGCTTCAGTATCCGATTGGACGCTGTCAGCTGTTTGGGTACGCTGGTCACGACGACGATAACAACATAGCCGTTGCCAAATACGAGTAAGCTGCGCAATTTGCGTAAACAGCAGCAGAGTCGCGCCCCCTCGTCGTCGCCCCCGCGAGCGCCGAGCGGTCCGCACAGCGCTGGCTGTGATGACGATTTGGATTATGAATGTGTTTTGCAATTCATTTTTGATTGTTTATTAAGCGAATGTATTTGCCTAAGAATTTCATGCAAGCATCCAGACTGCAACGGATCACAGATACAGATCTTGCCGGGCCACAGGTGCCAAAAGCGAAAAGGGAAACAATTGAGTGATGCCTATGAAATGGCATAGAGGCACAGTCATGAGCAGGAGCAGGAGCAGGAGCAGGAGCCATTGACCATTTTACTATTGACAAAGGCTAATGGCTGGCTGCCGCTTGCCTGCCTGTCAGGTTGCCTAATGGCCATGGCCGTGACATAACCAACTAACTGCAAGTTGTAGTTGTGTGTGTGTGTGTGTGTGCGATCTATATATGCACTCAAGACTTGATTCAATTAGATTGCGGCTGCTGCGTCGCGCAACTCTGATATAACTCAATTTGCCTGGCATAACGCGCTTCGCTCCTGCTGCAGGCCAGCAGGACAACGGCGCTTGCTGCTCGCACATAACGGCTTCCTGCTGGAGCAGCACAGCGCCACAGCAGCGCGACCATATCCATTTCAGCCGAGAGCGCAGCAGCCAATGCAAATAATTTGCTCCAGCTACTTTTCTCGCAACTGTTCAAGCGAATGCAGGAAGCGAGCGCCCATAATGGAGGAGCACGGCGGGCATGGAGCTCTGCTAGTGCTTCCTTTGTTATGGGCTACAAAGCTGAGCAACGTAAATGGATACGCTTGCATGATGCGGGGGGAGCGAGGTGGTGGCATACAACAGGTGCAGCTGGTAATTAAGTGCCATGCTCTGCCTCTGGCACTGCCTCACCCCCCACCACCGCGTCGTTTCCCCTTTGTCAGTCTGCTTTAATGGAAAAAATCAAGCAACTCCTGATTGACCTTTGAGTGGCAGCATAAATTGATTTATGGACGTCAGCAGCAATCAGATACTTTGACCTTGCCAACTTTACGGCTGTGGGCGTTTAGCGCGGAAAATCGAAATTAATGCTACGCTCCCAGTTGCCTAATTAAAGTTTTCCCCCACCTTGCAATCGTATCCAGGCGATTCTTTGGACTCGAAGCCGAGCGCAAGCTAACAATAATTTTTTTTTTTTTTGCAGCCAAGGCAACAATTCTTAAAAAAAAAAACAAGTAAGAAGACTCTAGTCGAGACTGCTCGACTAGGAGATACCCTGAACCCTCTAATCTGATATTCTAATCACTCTGCACTTCTTTTCGGCACACATACATACACACGCACGTAGTAGAACGCGATCTGCTAACTGCGTAGCAAGCAGCGACAGCGCTTGGGCTGCGCTGCAGAGTGGGCAACATTATAAGAATTTATTTGTTGAATAATTTAGAACATAATCATAATGTTCAAATGTATGTACATACCAAAGCACAAGTCTCTAGTACTTGAAATACGTCTTTTACAAAGGTGAGGGTGAGGGGGTGGATATAAGGGTGGGGGGTAAATTACAACCAAAAGCCGAAATTATATAAAATACATATAAGTCTACATTTAAAATTTGGAAGCTCTAGCTCGAAAGGTGTTGGAGATATAATTAAATAACTAGCTTTCGATACGGGTATTAATCGATAATAAAATATCGGGGGTAGTTATCGATATATAGAGAAAAACTTGATATGCGCGTGATATACACGGACCTAGGAAAAAAATTCAAGTCTCTAGCTCTTATATCTTCTGAGATCGACGCGTTCATAGATACGGACGGACGGACGGACAGACAGACGGACAGGGCCAAATCGACTCAGCTCGTCGCCCTGATCAAGAATATACATACTTTGTGGGGTCTGCCACACCCCCTTCTGCCAGTTACATACTTTTAACAAAACCATTATACCCTGATTTCCCATTGAAAATGGGTTCAGGGTATAAAAATTAATTAAGCTAAATGAAAATAGTATGAGCGTATATAAATAGCACTGTTTACTAAATACAGTGAAAAGAATTCAATCCTGTTATCGCTGCAGCTATACAGCTACAGCTACAGCTACACAGCTACAGCTCAATTGTATTTCTTATATTACAATAGATGTATTTCTTTGCAATTCCCCTTGCATTCCTTTGCATTCCCATTTAATCAGAGAGTGGAATTCAGCTTATGCTTAGTATACTATTACTACATATTGCTTCCATTTGCATGAATACAGCTGTATATTGAATTGTGCACTACACTTTTCATGAATACGAATATGCAGCTGTGTTCAGCTAAATAGCAGTGCGATATGTATTCAGGTATGAAGAAATGCTAAATCGGTAAATGCGATTAGCATGAAATCTGTATTTCCCAAGCTTCTCATGAAATTGCACTTGATGCGTTCTTTAAATTTCAATATTACAGTCGAGTCTCGTCAATTTGCATTCCCTTAAATTGAAAATCCCCATATATCGAAAAAATGCAAACCCCTTGAAACAACTCTTCTCGACAGCTCTAGATCAATTGAATTTATGTGTAAATCGAAATTCGAATTATCGAGACTCGACTGTATATACAATAATAGAGAGCGAATCACAAAAACAGAACCCAACAACTTTTCAAACTGCATGAAAGTAGAGGATATATGAAGCTTTCGTGGTCTTGTAAAACGCAAAGATATATTTTAAAGTTATCAAATTTGGATACTTTTAAAACGCACTGCAATACTTAATAATTTATGACAACTTTTCTATTTCTATATTAAATTGTGCTTTGATAAATACGCATTAAGATTTTAAAACAATAAGTGAAGACATTCAAATGTCACTTAAATGTTACGAGAAATATGTTAAAAAAAATGAGAGAATCTAAATCAATGAGGAATTAAATATTTCTGCGATTTCTGGGCAGTTTGTGTGCCTACAAAGAATCTATATGCATACTCTAAAAGTTAATGCTCCACAATAAAAAAGTTCGATAACGATATTTATCGATTTCATGAAAGAAAAGGATCTTTTTTTTTTTTTTTTTGGTATTTGAATGAAGTGTGAAATCTGAGTTTTATAATTTTACAACGCATTTAGTATAATTAGCTAAGAACCAAAGGCCTTATTTAGGATATCTATGATTCTAGTCTAGTTCAGACTTCTCCAGGGCTAGATGGACTCGACTCATATTAAAAAGTATATATATTATTTGCAGTTTCTGGCTTCAGCAAAAATACAACAAATTTCCATTGTGTTCAGTTGATAAAAACTTGAAGTCATTAGCATTAAATGTTTATAAACAAAAGCTGCCTTTGAATAAATCTACTTTCTACATAAATATTTCTCA